TGGCTTTACCAGTTTGCAATCCCACCAACAGTGGGTTAGTGTCCCCTTTTCCCCACATCCTCGCCAGCATCTGTTTTTAATTTATTTCTGTTTGTAAGCCATTCTAACCGGGGTGAGATGAAACCTCATTGTGGTTTTGATTTGCGTTTCCCTGATGGCTGGTGATCCTGAATATTTTTTCATGTGTCTGTTGGCCGTTTGGATTTCCTCTTTTGAAAAATATCAGGCAAGATGGCGGAATAGGAAGGGAGCACACTGATAGTCCGGGAAGAGACAGTTTAATAAAAGTGGAGATACTGCAGGTTCAAGGAAGAGTAGGGGAAGAAACAGCAGAGGAAACTCTTCCGGAACTAGTGATTCACAGTGGGCCTGCGTGGAGAGTGTGGGAGCCCATGGTTTGGGACACCAGCGGCAGAATCAATGCACCAGCGCTGGAACACGAGATGAGCCGAACCTCAGTAGCCTAAGACACCGGTGGGCAAGCGGAAAGAGGAGACTAGAGGCAACGAGGCTTGAAACCCCATGGGAAAAAGTTCACTAGGCTAACTAGAAGAGAGAGGAAAAAAAAAAGTAACAGATACAGACACAAGTTTCTCTCTCTCCGCTTACCTCTCAAAGGCGAGCAAGACAAAGAGCAGGCGCCATTTTGGACATATGTCATAAGTGGGGTGACCTCAGGGCTGCACCCACCCTCAACCAAGCAGAAAAACCTGACTCTGGTGTGTGTGTGTGTGTGTGTGTGTGTGTGTGAAATAACAGGAGATTAGGACCTAGTGAATGTGTTGTGCTAATGAACTGAGACTGTGAAAAAAGAGATGGTGAGTGAGAGAACTCACGGAATTCACGTGAGTACTCTCCAGAGATACTGCAATTCGGTAACCTTGGCAACCCAGTGGGAGACTGCAGGAGAATTTGCGCCCATGCTGAGGGCAGCACAGATTCCCTGTGTGGTCCTTGGGAAAGAGTTTCCACTCTCTGGATCCTGTAGGTATATCATTCACCTCCTAACTACCTTCAATTCCATTCAGCTGTGCAGAATTACGTCCCTTTTGAATCAAAAAAAGAAAGAGAGATTTACCATGCCTAACCTGGGAGTGTCACCTTTGGCACACCCTTAACTCTGAGGAACCAAACAGAGCTCTCTGGCCACACCCATCTCAAGCTTCTAAGGCTCCATCAAAAGCAGACAGTCCACTTAATACAGTCATAGTATAACAAGAAAAAACACCACAGTGAGGGAAGAAGAATCCAAAGAATATCTCCACAATGCCAAGCAACAAACACAGAAACCGAGGAAACAAGAACAAGAAGACATTATGACACCCCCAAATGAACGAGACACCCCAATTCAAGATTATGAGGATAATGAGATAGAAGAAATGAAAGATACAGATTTCAAAAAATTAATGATAAGAACATCTAGAAGTTCTCAAAAACAAATTCTTGAACTACAGAAATCTTACTGGACAAGATAGAAAATCTCTCTAGTGAAAATGAAATGCAGAAACTAGTAGAACAGGAAAGTGTGATAGTGAAGAGAAGTCAAAATGAAATGAAGAACTCAATAGATCAAATGACAAACACATTAGAGAGCCTTAAAAACAGAGTCAATGAAGCAGAAGAGAGAATATTGGATGTAGAAGACAGAGCACAGGAAAGTATACGTCAAACCAAAGAAAAGAAGAGGAAATTAGACATCTAAAAATATTGTTGGGAATCTACAGGATACTATTAAAAACCCAACATTTGGGTTCTAGGAGTTCCTGAAGGCATGGAGAGAGAGAAAGGATATGAAGGCCTTTTTAGTAAGATACTAGCAGAGAACTTCCTGGGTTTGGAGAAGGACAGAGACATCCTAATACAGGAAGCTCATAGAACCCCTAGTAAATATGACCAAAAGAGATCCTCACCACAACATGTTGTAATCAAACTCACCACAGTGAAACATAAAGCAAAGATCCTAAAATGTGCAAGAGAGAAACATCAGATTACTTTCAGAGGATCTCCAGTTAGACTCACAGCAGACTTCTCATCAGAAACCCTACAGGCTAGAAGGGAATGGCGAGACATAGCCCAGGTACTAAGAGAGAAAAACTGCCAGCCAGAATATTATATCCTGAAAAGCTCTCATTTGTGAATGAAGGTGAAAAAAGACCTGGGGCAGAGCGTTGGTGCATGCATGGTTAGAGGAGGTGAGGTTAATGGGCAAGGATCCTGCTCAGGGGATGCTACAGAAGCCAAAGAAGGACAAGGAAACTGGTTCAAGAGAAGTGATAGAAGGAGGAGGGGAGAACTCTCATCTGTTACCTTACAGTTCACAGGATGTGTGTGGGGTGACAGCTGGTCAGTGATGGGGCTGAAACCAAAGTCTGGCTGCACTCAGGGCCTGGGCTGTAACCACACTGCAGAGTTGCCTACTCAGGAGGGCAGAAAGAAGCAAGGAAGACTCCAGATGGTGGAAGACCGGGAGGAAGAGGAGGCTCAAAATAGGAGAGGAAAGATAAGGGGCAAAGAGGCTGCTGAGAGTTGCGACGTTGTTCCTTGGAGCCGCTCTCCCTGCTGCCTGATCCCATGGTCCCTGTGTATGATGCAGTAAGGAACACCTGTGGGCTGAGCATCAGCAGGCACTTCATGGTTCTCCCTGGCTCCCAAGTCAGTGGGGAAGGCAGGACATTTGGAAGGTGTTCAGCGGCAGGCAAGAGCCACTGCTTGTATCTGGCCTACATCCTGATAGCCCTTATCAGCCTGTAAATACTGCCTGCTATCACACTCTCACACAGAACACATACTGATTAGATTTCCTGCCTGGGGTCAGCGTCTGAGAAGCTGCCTGTGAGTAGCTTTCCACTAGCATGGCACCCATGATTGGAGTGCACTTCCTGAGAGTTGCCAGCCTTAGAGTGTTGGCTATTACTTAAGAAATGAGAATGGCCTGTGATAGAATTCCAAGCTCACTACTTTGAAAGAGTTGTCCTGAGCATTGAAGCAATGCTGCGGGAGCTCATTGCGCCCCAGTTTTCCCCAATGAGATGTATAGTCGGGGTTTTTAGAAAGCATCTTTCCAACTTAGCGATGGGTGGCATTGCTGTCTGTGCCAATGCAGAGGATGTGAACTGTGAGTAGTTTTGGGAGCAGAACTCACTTCTCTGTGTAGACAGATTCATGTGGGTTTGACATTACAGGATGTGTGTACATCTGTCAGTAGATTTGGTTTCTGTCCGTGGTACGTGGCTCATCACTTCCTACACAAGGCTCAGAGACTAGAATTCTTTCTCCAAGGTGGGACATAGTAACTCTAACCTTGCAGCCTTTAGCTAGCCATAATGAAATTTTCTGCTGTGTGATTGTCCCATAGTAGGTGCTAAGAATCACTTTATGCAAGAGGGTTCCTGTGCCATCCACTGGAGGAAGGGAGTCTGAAGAATCATTTTGGGGCCCTATACCAGTCTATTTCCAGCATGCCCATGAAGCCCCAGTACCTCACCAAATACAGTGTTTCAGGATTCTGGACAGTGGGTTATGTGGAGTAGAGTGAGTCCAAACAGGAAGTCATTCCCCTGCTGGGGGTGGGGGGGAGCAGAGCCCATTGTCTTGAGCCCTACCAGCCATCGCTCTCTGTATATCCCCATGTGGCTGCCCATATCCATCTTTGAAATTCTGTAGCTTAGTGTGTTTTCTTGAGTCCCATGAGCCACTGAGCAAATTAACTGAATCTGAGGGCAGGACTGTGAGGACCTAAATCTGTAGCCCTTCAATCCTGTGCCAGACTCTGTAGTGGGATAGGGCTGAGAACTGAGCCCTACCTGTGGGATCCTGTGCTCTCTCCTAGAAGATGGGAGCAGGAATGAATCCAGTTGAGTGTGCGGTCACCCAGCTGGTGTTGGCCACTTCAGAGTTAGTTGTTGGAGTGTGGAGAATGTCCCCACATATCTAATGTCAGCTGTGAGTTGTGTCAGGAGGTAGCTGTAGGAGAAATCAATTCTGAGACCTCATAAAGGTCTGTGTGGGAATTGTCTACAAACAGTTGAGAATGGCCCTGACTTAAGAGGCATGGGATTTGGGAAGTACAATGTCAGAAGGTACATGCGTGTATAGCGGGGTGAGGACTTGTGGTCCTGGGTTGCTGAATGGTCATCTCTGATGTAGGCAGCAGTTCTGCCTCAGTCAGTAACTGGAGGTCCATGTCCCATTCGAATTTTGGGTTGTACCCAACTCTTGGGGAGCTGGTTTACTAGATGCAGAAGGAAACACAGCTTCTGTCACTCTTTGTTCAGGTCTGCAAAATAACATAGCCTCCCCCCCTTTTTTTGACATGCAGAGTGGACAGTGAGAGAGAGAGAAGAGTGAAAGGTCTTCCTTTTCTGTTGGTTCACTCCTCAAAGGCCGCCACGGCCAGCACACTGTGGCCGGCGCACTGCGCTGATCCGAAGCCAGGAGCCAGGTGCCTCTGCTGGTCTCCCATGCGGGTGCAGGGCCCAAGCACTTGGGCCATCCTCCACTGCACTCCCGGGCCACAGCAGAGAGCTGGACAGGAAGAGGAGCGACCGGGACAGAATCGGGTGCCCCGACTGGGACTAGAACCCAGGGTGCTGTTGCCGCAGGTGGAGGATTAGCCTATTGAGCTGCAGCGCCGGCCTACATGGCCTCCTTCTACCCACTCAGGAACATCACCATCAGATATCCTCCCCTTGACTTTCTACCTTTCCTCATTATATCATTATGGCTCTGAGAAAGTGGGAAATTGACCCCCTCAAGCACAGGCCTAGGTGCACTCCTCTCTATGGAGACAATGGGCCTGTCGTTTCTGGTCCCCAGGTCTTTTGTGATACTCCCAGCAAAACTTGATGACGCCCATTTGTCATGCCGGCCCTGTTATGAAATGTCACTGGTTTGGAGCTGTCTAGTTGTATATGTTCATTTCTGCTTCTCTGTCTGGTATTCTGACCCCAGAAATGTGGAAGAGACATTCTAGTCAGGAGAAGAAGATACACACATTTTCATCAGCTGTTTTTATTCTATTTATGAGTGTGGATGGGAATAGGAACAAGCATCTACTATGATTAGGAGGTGACTGTGTTTCAGGAAGAAAAATCAGGAGAATTCTTTTCAGTTAAGGGTTTGCAAGCAGGAGGCCAGATCTCTCAGGAAGCAGTTTGAAAGCTGCAGGCTTAAACTGCAGGAGCCAGGCCAAGCTTATTGTTGGCCCGGTCAAAGACGGTGAAGTACTTGCGGATGAAGACATCACCCAGGATCCAGAGCTCACCGGAGGAGGTGTCGAGGTCCATGCCCTCAAAGCCACTGGTGCAGACATCATCTTCCTGCAGAACAGAGAACAGCACGGTAGACCAGACAGAGGGTCAGGGTGACAGGCGAGCTGGGTATTAAACAGCACAGGCTCACTGGACTCACGACAACGCCCATGCAAAGAAGGGCTTCCTGACTTAGTGTCCAGGGATATGTTTTTTGCTTAGCTGGGGTGTACCTGAATAAGCTGATTACTGCTCTCATTTTTTGCATGGAGGCTGGACAATATCCAGTGTCTTTGGCAGACACATAAACCCTGACCTTAGCAAAGGGGTTTAGAGAGAAGTCAACTTTGCTAAGGATGTTTGGAAACCCTGATGATACGCCCATTTCTCAGTACTCTCCTCCAGACCAGTGGCACAACAGGCAGCTGTGAGTCCTTTCTCTTCCCTGGCATACTGGCCCCAGCTGCAGCCTGGGCTGTGTGTTAGAGTCACCTGGGAGGAGGTTCATGTGTGAGTACTTGTCACTGAGAATGATCAGCTGGGAAGAACTGGTTTTGCACCTGGCAGTATGGTAAATGGCAAAGAGAATTCCTGTGGCTCATGGGCCTAAAGATGCGATCACTGTCATGGAAATCTGAGGGTGGGTTTAGTCTCTGGTTTTTCGTTGAAGAAATGGAGGATAAGAGATGTTCAACCTTTCTCAGAAATAATAGGCTGGACATTGAGACTGAGGGCTCAGAGCCAGGTGTGTAAATGAACAGAGCCTCTTATTTAAGCTGTCATCTTTTGCCCCACTCTTCCTAAGGGAAAGCCCTTAAGGGGGATTTGTCTAAATTCTCACTCATACATTGCCTGTGAATGCACACTGTGTCTGGAATCCATGAAGAGCAAGTGACAGTCTGCCTCTGGACTTCAGGTGGGAGAAGTGTTCAGAGGGCAGTGTGTGGCCCATCCTGGGATTGGCACAGGGCCACCTTACCTTCAGGATGTAGGCACTGGCAGGCAGAGGGTACTTCACACCATGGATGGTGAAGACAACGTCAGGCAGGGACTTGACGTCTGAGCATTTGACGACTTCCTGGAATGTGCAAGGGTGGAAGGATTACAGGAGGTTTATTCCTTCTGCATATTACTCTCACCACTGGAGTCTAAAACAGAGCGTGTGGGGCTGCACTTGCCTCGCCTTCGGAGTTATCATAAGCTCTGATGTGACGCTGGATTTTGGAAATGGCGTTGGTGGGTCCAGCCAGCAGAGAGGTGCCCGTATCAATGATGGCCTGGCAGCTATCAGCACAAGCAATGGTCTTTCCATTGATGGTCACACTGAGGGAGAGATGCAAGGAAGGTTTGCCTGAGTTCCCAAGAGTTACACCTGTGACCAGGATGGGCCCCCCCACACCCCGCTCAGGGGACAGAACAGATGGGAATTCAGGCTACAGCCTGGCCAGGGCCAGTATGCCCTGAGCCAGATTCGCAGTTATTTGTTCCTAATCTTAGACTTCTAGTGGTATTCTTCCTAGAGAGGGAGGTTGTGTAATGCTCCCCAGGTCTCATAAATGCTGAACAATGTGGAATTGCTGGGTTGGCTGAGCTTCCCTGTGGGGGCTGAAAGGTGGGCCTGCCTCCTGGACCACAAGGAAATGGCTGCCTGATCCTTGTAGAGGAATTGGGCTCCTGGTCAGTCCTCTCTCTCTCCTGTCCTTTCAGAAAGGCACATTTCCTAGGCTCACTCTGGATAAGCCAATTTCCAGATTTTCCCATGTGCTGGCTGTTCCAGACAGATGGGGACACTGACTCTCCTGTGAGCATGGAAAGAATGGGATCTTTACCAAGGACAAGAGACCGTCCAGCAGTGCCATCTCACCTGTCCATGGTGAACTGCCAGTAGCCTTCATAAGAAACAGGCACCCAGTGCAGGCTTCCCTTGTAGTAAGACTCATCGATGCCACCAAACATCACCAAACTGCCCTTCTTGTCATCACTGGATAGTTGGAAGAGAAGACAGGAATTCACTCATTCATGTGTTACATATTTGCTATGTACAACCTAGGAGCTACCCTGGATAGGGTACTCATCAGTTCTAGGATTTGTGCTCAATGTGTGATAGACATGGGTTCTTTTCATGCTATACCAGAGCCATACGATAGTCAATATTATTATTTTGACTTCAACGACTCTGAGGGTCAGAGAAGTAAGGCAACTTTCTTGAGATCACACAGCAGGATGTGCCAGCCAAAAGTAGAACCTAGAAATTATGGGTTGTCCCAAATTATACATCTCTTCCCTCTCCCATTCCCACCACCATGTTCAACAGGGATCACATTTCAGTTAATTTTCAACACTTAAGAATAACTGTGCATCAATTACAGATCTAAACCAGAGATGTATAATTTGGGACATGCTCAGGCTGACTTGCCCCAAGTGGTGGAGTTGGAAGCATACCAGGGGATTCCAATTCAATCCCATCGTGGTGGCATGTACCAATGGCATCTCACTGTTCCAGGTGATCAGTTTCAGTTCACAGTTGGTCATGGTGAAGGGACTGGGAGTCAAAGGGAGCACATAGACAAGTCTAGTACCTGCTAACGCTAACTGATGGAGTAAATAAAGGGGAGAGTGATCCAACATGGGAAGTGAGAATCTCAGCAGACTCATAGAATGGCAGATGTCCTAAATAGCACTCTGGCCTCAGAATCAGCCCTAAAGGCATTCGGAGCTGGCTGAAAAGCTCATGAGAGTATTTCAGGCATGGAAAGCCAAGACACTCTGGCAAAAGATCTCTGCGAGTGAGATCCCAGTGGAAAGAACAGGCCATCAAAGAAGGAGGTACCTTTCTCTGAAGGGAGGAGAGAACCTCCACTTTGACTATGAGCTTGTCTAAACAAGATAAGAATCGGAGAACTCAGAGGGCTTCCATAGCCTTGGAAACTCATGACTGGAGCATAGGGAGATTACTGATGCCATAGACAGGAGTGTCAATTGGTAAAGTCAACAACAGGAGTCACTGTGCACTTACTCCTCATGTAGGATCTCTATCCTTAATGTGCTGTACATTGAGATTTAATGCTATAACGAGTACTCAAACAATATATTTCACTTTGTGTTTCTATGGGGGTGCAAACTGTTGAAATCCTTACTTAATGCATACTAAACTGATCCTCTGTAAAAAAAAAGAAAAAGAAAAAGAAATTATCAATTCCCAACTTGACTCTCACTGGGATTAAACATGACAATAGGTCTGCTCTGATTTCATCATCATTTTAAAAAATCATCTATTATTTTTCACTTTATGTTTCTGTGTGGGAGCAAACTGTTGAAATCCATACTTAATGTATACTAAGCTGATCTTCTGTATATTAAGATAATCGACAATCAATCTTGATGTGAATGGAAGGGGAGAGGGAGTGGGAAAGGGGAGGGTTGTGGGTGGGAGGGACGGTATGGGGGGGAAGCCATTGTAATCCATAAGTCGTACTTTGGAAATTTATAATCATTAAATAAAAGTTAAAAAAGTTAAAAAAAAAAAAAAAAAAAAAAAAAAAAAAAAAGAAATTATGGGTTGTGCTGTTTGTAGTCCAATACCCATTATAGTTGCTATGGGGACCACAAGTGAATTGAATATAGGATGGTGTTGGCTGTTAAGGACTCAATGGTGTAGTTCTTGTGTTCTCGGCCAGGCAGGTATTGCTAATATCTGGAGATATTTCTCGTTGTTGTGATTGTGTGGGGGCAGCGGATGCTACTGAGCCCAAAGAGATCAAGTCCAGGGATCTGCTTTGCACCCTAAACAGTGCATGGGACAGCATCAACAATACTTCAAACCAAAATCTCCATGGTGCTGAGCTGTATTGACCTTTGTCTCACTGGGGGAAATGCAGTGGTTCACAAGACATACTTTAGCCCACATGAAGCAGGTGAGAACCATGAGAGACATGACTACTTAGTGGCCTAGAGCACATGTTGGGGTCTTTGTTAGTGGAACATCCATTTCAGGGTACATAGGGATGTAAATATAGAGGGTATTGAGGAATTAATCACCAACTGGCCATTTATGAACCACAGCCCCACTCAGTTTAACCCACCCACTTTTGCAGGAAACATGTGATAGTGTAATCGACATCTAGCGGTTATTAACAAGTGAAGGAAAACAGGATAATGACCAACAGTGTCATTAGGAGGAATTAAGTAATAGAAGAAAGTTGGCAACTGGCCTAGCTCTTCTTGTGTAAAAGTCTACTCAGCCAAAACCAACCTGTTTGTTCTTCATTTATTCTTTGACCCTACATTTTTTTTTTTTGGACAGGCAGAGTGGACAGTGAGAGAGAGAGACAGAGAGAAAGGTCTTCCTTTGCCATTGGTTCACCCTCCAATGGCCACCCCGGCCGGTGCACCGCACTGATCCGATGGCAGGAGCCAGGAGCCAGGTGCTTTTCCTGGTCTCCCATGGGGTGCAGGGCCCAAGCACCTGGGCCATCCTCCACTGCACTCCCTGGCCACAGCAGAGAGCTGGCCTGGAAGAGGGGCAACCGGGACAGAATCCAGCGCCCCGACCAGGACTAGAACCCGGTGTGCCGGCGCCGCTAGGCGGAGGATTAGCCTAGTGAGCCGCGGCGCTGGCCTGACCCTACATTTTGATAATTAAAAAAGAAACTTTGTAGCATTACTTTCTCATTTCATTCTTCTATATATATGAGGGTACATCAAAAAGTTGCTGGAAAAATATATTGAAAGAATTTATATTGGTGCCAAACATTTTGCAACCTGAGCATTCAAGGGCTCTGCAAAATATTCATGAAAAATTAGTGTTATGTAATAAAACTATGCATGGTGTTCAAAATGTATGCACCAAAATATACTTATTTTACAAAGCAAATTTGAAACACAGAGCAATAGGAAGAGACAGGGTCTTTTATCTACTTGTCAGCCCACAAATGTCCACAATTGCACAAATGCACCCGGGTTGAAAACAGGCAATCAGACTCAATATGGCTCTTCCCAGTGGGTGACAGAGGCCAAGGTGCTTGAGTCATCAGCTACTCCTACCCTGGTTGTGCAGTATGAAGAAGATAAAGCACAAACAGTGTAGTCTGGACTCAAAGCATGTACTTGATGTTTGAGTACCTTAAACAGTAAATTAACCATTGGAAGTAACATCACTCCCTAAATGTGTCTTTGAGTTTCACTTGCCACAAAATTTTCGAAGTCCCCTCCTAAGTCACAATCAAATTTTGTTATTGTTTTCCTATGATTTTTGAACACTGTGTTATGTGATTTCACTCTAAATGGTTTCTTAGGGCCAAGAATGAGGGCATCAGTGCCAAGAGCAACTGGTAATGACTTTGGAGTTGAGAAGTTCAAGGGAGAAAAACTTATCTTGATAAATAGTAGCACATGAAGATAGTTTGTCAGAGAGTGAGAGAGACTTGGCAGCATTGCTGCTCAAATACATCGTTCTGCAGACTATGACATTGACTTTGAAAATCTCTTTCATCTAAGATCTTCCCAAGCCCACCCAGCCCTGGTGAGGTCCTTTGCTGATCCAGGTGAAAATGGTCTGTGTGGGAGAGGCCCCGGGCTAGCCAACCTACGAGCTCAGGTAGACGGAGAAGAGGTCCTCAGACACCAGACGGTGGTCCCACATGTTGTCAAAGACGGGCGTGGCATCAGAGGAGGAAATGCTGGGGTAGCCCAGACCCAGGATACCATCGAAGGGAGCAAACACGAAGGTGTCACCCGGCTCTGTCTCACTCAGGCCAAAGATCTGGTGGGTGTCATCGATGCTTCCAACCTTTGTAAGGGGGGACAGAGATGATGTCCAACATAAGCAACTGTTTATGGAGCAATGCTGTACCCTAGTCCTGGACCCAGTGCAACCTTGCATCATTTCCCAAAGGATTCAGCTTCCAGGGCATCAGGCTGAAAGGCAAGTTGAGAGACCATCCCCTGGAATACTTTGACTCCCCACTGGACAGGTCCTGCGAGCTGATGTCCAGATGGCCACTGTTGTGACTTGCTGTGAGATTCTGCTACAGGATGGATGACCACTGTGCATTTGCATTATAGCTGGGCAGATGCAAAGCAGAACCCAGCAATTTAGGATCTGTTGCCCCTGTCATGCCCTGTGAGACTTGTGGAGCTCATGTGACTATAGAGATCTAGAGGAAGATGAGAACTCCAAAGGTATCTTAGCCTTTCCATCTCCAATCACTGCTTCCTCCATGGCATTCGGCACTGAGGTTGGCTGTCGACTCCAGGCACCACTACCCTTATGCACTGGTGGCTCAGCCTGCAATGTGTGTATGGCAGCTCTGCCACATGGCTCCCTGACCACCCTGTTAGATTTCTTGTGTCATCTCTGAGACACCTGTACTTCTAGAATTAGCTTGCTCTGGGGGACACACTGTGGTCTCAGGAAGCTGGCCCTAAGGCCTGGCAGTGTGAGGGGCAGAGATGGCAGGTTCTCACCTTCACAATGTCATATCCCAGGATGCCTGTCATACTGCCAGTGCCATAGGCAATGGATACTGTCTTGTCGGTGGCCTGGTAGGTGGAGGACTTCTTAGGGTTAAACTGCTTATGGAAGGCTACAAAAGCAGAAAGAGACATCATTAACCACCAGAGGGCAAGCAAGTGAGCTGGTAATATCTTCTTTGCTTTGGGTGTCTTGGTACTGGCAGAGAAAGACAACCTTTGCCGCAATGTGCCCTTTGAATTGACCCTTTAGTACCCTGAGCCAATCCAAACTTGTTGTCATTGGCACCATGTCACTGGTGGATGGAACCCAACCTATTCCATGTCACCCCAAGATCCTTCTGACAAACTCTGAGCACAGCAGCCTGCACAGCCAAGGCTCCAGTTTGGGCACAGATGATTTCAAGGGCATCTCCTCTTAATTAAAATTCAGGTTAAAAAAAGCCACAAGAGGCTGGAGCTTGAAACATTGTGGTGACTTCCAGTGACAAAGTCTCCTTCATCAGCAAAGCAATGACTCATGTGTTTGTTTTCGCTATCCACATACTAATCATTCCCAACCATGCTTTTTTGGCATCTGAGATCTGATGAGATTGGGCGTGTTCAGGATGGTATGGCTGTAGACTAAGCTTTTAATGACTAAGCTTCTCACTTTTCTCGAGGGTGCTTCAGCCTGACATTAAATCCACTGTGTCACATAGCCCATGCAGCGTGGCTTGCCAGGCTGGAGCCCTATTTAGCCAAGATTAACTTTGGACTTCTACAAGTTTTCTGCTCTGTGAGCCTATCTGACCACATCTGCTCCACCTTTAATCCTAAGAGCATGTGTGCCCAGTTATAGGCTCCTAGTAGCTTCCTGGGCAAGGTGAATGGCCGAGTGGCTTCAATAGCTTAATAGGAACTAAAGAAAGTCCCTAAGGGTCCAGTTTGCCAGCATCAGCTGGTTCTGGGCAGCAAGGGAAGAGCAGGCCAGGCAGGTTCAGCTACTCACCACAGGCAAGACTGGAGCAGTAGATGGAGGGCACCCACAGGTTGGAGGAGCCCGTGTCAAAGATGACGGTGAAGTCCTGAGGGGGGGTTCCGATGCTGATGGTGCCAAAGTACTCAGCCTGCAGGGGTCAGGACAGTGTAGCTCAAGTACCTGGTCACCCCATCCATCCTCCCTGGGGGCCAGCTCCTCAGTCAAACTCTCCATCATCTCCTCTCTTCTAACCTCCTCATCCAGTACACTCTTCTTCAAACCCCAGCCGGGTCTCCACTCCTCCTGATTGCTCCGTAGTTGCCTCTGACTGTTCTCTGCTAAGTACATTCACATCCGAGGCTTATATGCTGTGTTCTCTTGGCCAGAACCCTACCTATGTCAGTCTTGACCTCCTAAAGAGTTCACCTTCTCAGAGGATAGGATGTAACTGTGGCACTTAGCAAGTCATGTCAACAGTGCCTGTTCATTAACTTGCTGAGCTGGAGACATATAAGACACTTCAACGTGGGAGCACATGGGAATCTCCTATCCCTAAATCTGAGGGTGGATAGCAGGGTTGTCAGTATTTTTATTCTCAATGTCAGCACGTTCCTATCTGGTAGATCTGCTCTAGTTACCCTGGTCATTGTGCCTTTCTTGGACAAGTACAAGCTCCTTCCCACCCTAGGGCTTTTGCACTGGCTATTCCTTGGTCGGAAAATGTTTCTTCTAGACTTTCCCTTGGCTGCCTCTTTCTTCATCATTTAGAGCTCTCATCCAATGTCACCTCTCTCAGCAAGTCTTCCCCATCACTTCATCCAAATTTGTCCCCTATGTGTCTTCATCGACTTGTAATTAATTAACTGAAGTGTTATGCTTTGTGGCTTCTCTCATTACATGACTCTTCTCACATGCTGGTTTGTTTGCCGTCCTCTCTTGAATATAACCCCAGGACTTTGGCCTGCTCAATGTTGTGGCCTCAGTATGTGCTAGCCTCTGGCACTTAGCAGGTGCTTTGTAAATAAATATGAACTTGATAAATAGGCTGCTGTTTCTGAGCTCTGCCATGGGGGCTGCTGGGCCCTGTGCTCAGCACTCCCAGAAATCTGGGGTTTTAATGACTTGTAGCCTTCTGTGGATGGTGGCCGTGAATGGGTCAGTTCTCTAGACCAGGATGCTGAGGCTCAAAGAATGTAAACAACTTTCCCAAGATCACCAGGCCTGGAGGCCTTAGAGCCCCGATTTGCAGCACGTCTTAGGGATTTCAGAGGCCTAGCCCTTGGCCACAGTCAAGCCTGCTTTGTTCCTTTGGCTGTTTCTATTCACATGAAGATGTACAGTGTCTACTGAAGACCAGGGTGTGCCATCAGATCCCAAATAAAAGAGTCAGAGGTCTTGAGGCTCATATTCACCCTGGGGTTAACATACTTGGCAAGTAGGGCTTAGGCTGTGTCAGGCTCCTGGCCTCTCTGTGGTCTGCCCCACCCATGGCCCCTCTGCCTCCCTTGGCACCACTCTGTTTCACTTTACACTCTTCTATGCACTCTGCTCTTACTTCCTGAAATGCAGTTGGCTCCCTGTGCCCACAGGTTGAGCATGAGCCCACTAACTCTCGAAAAGTCCCTGCCTTCTCTTGGAAGCTCCTGTTCTTCTTTCATTGCTCCCAGAAGGCATCCTTGCCCTCCCGGAGTGCCGGCTCAATGAGCGAGACCCCTCTTTGTTGGCCCTCTGGCTACTCTGGATTCTCACTGGGTGCTGAGTCTCACTGAGGATATCATTATCCCTTGCGTTACAGTAATTTTATTCAGCAAAAGATCTGAAACCTAAGATAGAACTCAGTGTAAAGAAATATTGAAAGATCTTGTGATGAACAAATCACGATAGTTCTGATTGTGGATTTTGTGAGTTTCCCTGGGCTACTGAGATCAGGGAATAGTCCCTGGCTGTCATCCATGCCCCTAGTTCCCTCTCTGGGTCAGTCCTTGGGGATGCTCCTGCCAGCTGTATGCATACTCACGTCCATGTAGTTCTCCATCTTCTCAGTTGACTCCTTGGCATAGGCTGCATTGGGGAAGTACTTGGTGGCCGGGTTGGGGCTGTGAGTCTTCAGGTAGTCCTGCAGCAAGCCCTTCTCAATCAGGTTCTTCCTCAAGGACTTCTTTCTGACCAGGGGGACCCTGGGGCAGAGCATTGGAATATGCATGGTTAGGGAAGGAGAGGTAATTGGGCAAAGATCGGATCAGGGTTGCTACAGAAACCCAAGAAAAGTGAGGGACCTGATTCAAGAGAAGAGAAAGGAGGAGGGGAGAAGCTCCCATCTGTTACTCAACAGTGCACAGAAGGGAGGTGCTGCTGGCCAGTGATGGGGCTGAAACATAACTGGCTGCATTGGAGCCTGGCCTCTCCATAAAGGCAGAAAGAGAAGTCAGGAAGCTTCAAGATGTTGAAACATAGGGAGGAAAGGAAAGTGGACATAGGACAAGCAGGGACTTGGGAGGCAGCCGAGTGCTGGGAGATTGCCTCTTGGAGCCGCTCTTCTCACTGCTTGACCCCAGACTCACTTGTGGATGACGCACTCAGAGAGCGCCAGTAGGCCGAGCAGCAGCAGCCACTTCATGGTTCTTCCTGACTCCCAAGACACTGGGGAAGGCAGGACGAGTGGAAGGTGTACAGCAGCAGGCAAGAGCCACTGCTTAAATATGTGTGGCCAATCCTGAATGTAATAGTCCTTATCAGTCTCTTAATGCCACCTGCTATCACACTCCCAACATAACAGTCTCTGATAACACAGTCCTGTGTGAAGTCCTGTTCTGAGAATTGGCCCGTGGAGTAGCTTTCCACTAACACCACATCCCTCAGTTGGAGTGCACCTGCCGAAATCCTGCCAGCTACTGAGGATTGACTGTGATGTTTACAATGAGATGGGTCCATGTCCAACTTTCCAGGCTCAGTGTTTTGACAGAGTTGGTCAGAAATGCAGAGAACACAGCATTGGACCAGTGTTGCATTATCTCATTGTATACTGATTTGTCCCAGTGCCACAGACAGTTGGGGTTCTAAGAAAGCAGCTGCCCAGCATAGTCCTGGGTGCCATTTCTGTGTCTGCCACCCCTGAGGATGTTGGCAGAGAGTGGTTTGTGGATCATGGCCTACTTCTGTGTGCTCATGGCTTCATGTGTGTATGACATAAGGGGATCTGTGTATATGGAGGTAGATTTGGTTTCTGTCCCTGTTTCCTGTCTCATCACTCCTCCTAATGGCAAAGAAACTAGAAATCTCTTCTCCGAGGTAGATGATAGGAACTCTGATCTCCCTGCCTTTAGCTGGTCATAACAAAATTCTCTGCTATGTGAGTGTTCCATAGTAGATCCTAAGATCCTCCTAACCCCAGAGCGGTCCTGCCAAAGCCATGGGAAGGAGGCTGCTGAGTCCATGCTGGGGACCCCCCCCCCCACAAGTGTATCAGCAATCATGCTCATGAATTGAAGAACCCACACACCGGCCTTAAACACAGGGATCACAGGGCTTCCTGAAAATGGGGCAAGAGGAGTTCTTTTGATGACAAATAGGAAGTTATCCTGGGTGGCAGTGGGATCCAGTAGAGTGGTCCTGACTCTAGAGATCAGAGCTTGAGAGGGGAAAGAGTCAGAAAGTGAAGGAGATCTTGTGGCCACACAGCCATCTCTGGTGTGGGCAGCAGTTCTGCCTCAGTCAGTTGCTGGAGATCCAAGTCCCATTTGATTTCAGGGGTGGATCCAACTTGTAGGGAGTTGGTTCACTAGAGGGGAAGAGGTGCATACTTACAGGAACAAAAGCAAAACTCACCATCCTTGGTTGTAGCTCTCTATAGAAGCTCAAATAAAGAGGAGAGGACTGCTGGCTAGACATTTACCCACCTATATGTAGTCCAAGACACTAACCCTGGAGGCTACCTAAATATCCTTGGAAGACTATCCCATGAAGAAAGAACTTGGACATGGATCATGATGCCCTCATCAACTTCCCCCGACCCTTATAAGCCATGAAGAAGATAGGGAACTACACAGCAGTGTTTATTGTGGTTGTCAATGCATATTCCTTCCTCATAATCATGGCATTAACAGCACTAGAAGGCTGGATGGCCCAAGGGTACTCTTGCAGGTCACCTAACATTAGACAACCCCACACAAGTTTACTGCACCTACCCTAGTCGTGTGAAGTTTAAGAAGCCAGAAGATGAAGATTACAATGAGAAATACACCCTGACATTGGTACAGCTGTTAGGCAGATTCCTCTAGACAACAATAGAGAAAGTGTCAGTGTTTCTTGACTCTCAGGGTGGAGAAGTCCATGGGGGATGCAACATAAACAAAGGAGGGGTTACATCATGGAAGGTGGACAGGCTTTGCATGAAGTTGTAGTTCCTTTACCTACAAGTTGAAGGGAGCAGATGTGATGTCTAGCTGGGGAACAAATCCTTCCCTTACTCTGTGTTGTAAACCAGAATCTGATGATGAAGTCCTACTAGAGGCTGCAGACTGGAAAGTGACAGTTGATGGCATAAGAAAATGTTCTAGTCATATTAAGTAGAACAGACAAAAAAACTACTAAGAGGGATAATGTATTAAGTTGTTCATTAACAGTCAGGGCTATGCTGATCAAGTCACCGTTTCCCATAGTGTCCGTTTCACTTCAGGAGGTTTCCTTTTTGGTGATTAAACATGACAATAGGTCTGATCTGATTTCATCATCATTTAAAAAAATCATCTATTATTTTTCACTTTTTTGTTTTTGTGTGAGCAAACTGTTGAAATCCTTACTTAATGTATACTAAGCTGATCTTCTGTATATTAAGATAATCGAAAATGAATCTTGATGTGAATGGAAGGGGAGAGGGAGTGGGAAAGGGGAGGGCTGTGGGTGGGAGGGACGGTATGTGGGGGAAGCCATTGTAATCCATAAATCGTACTTTGGAAATTTATATTCATTAAATAAAAGTTAAAAAAATAAATAAAAAAAGAAAATGTTCTGGGTACATTTGGGCAGGATGCCTGTGAAGCCATTGCCTGGCTTTACCCTTGTTGTGTTACAGAATGGACATCAGATCTGAGTGGAGAATGTTCCTCCACCACGTGTTGTAAAGCAGAAGGCAGAGAATCTTCTCTTCCAGTGATTTCAACGGGATGTGTTACTTGAGAGCCAGGAAGTTTGTTTGAATCCGCAGAGTGTGGAGTACAGGCTGCAGCATTGGGGCGATGGGATGCCTTCTCTGTGTCTTGGCCTCATGTGCAGCCTAGACTGGAGCTGCGGGCAACAGCCTGTGTGCCCCCTCCCAGAAATATCTATGGGAGTTTGGACTGAGAATTCCCCATGAATGGCGTTAACTACTTTGTTGTTAATCCTTGACTGAAAATACTCCTGTGACTGGAGGACCTGAAATGATCTTGACCCCTGAAATACCCTAAATGTCTAAGATGATGTCAGGGAAAGTCTCAAATGGAGGTTAGGCATGGAAGGGTTGCTGGTAATGTGTAAATGATTTGTACAAAGTCTGAGTATCTTGGTAATGCAAGGAAGAGAAATCAATAAGAACTTTGCCCCCAAGACTGACTCTATGACTATGAGGAGCTGCTGAATTCTAAAGTAGATGCAAACAGCTTGAGAAAAGGTGGTGGGGGAGATGGAGAAAAGCCTCTTGTCTTCTGCCTGGAGGGGCTCTGGGTCACACTGAAGGAAGCTGTTGGGTTAGGAAAGACAAGTCTCCATTGAGAAGAAAGCACAGGGACACAATTCCAGGAGCAGGAAGACTCTCTAGGTTGGCCCTGATATGATTTGGGTGTTGATACCCCATAAGGCCCAGGTGTTCTTGACTGGTTCCTGCGGTGATGCTGTTGAGAAGAGATGGAGCCCGTAGGAGGTATTGCCTAGTGTGAAGTTTCTGGGCCACTGGGCTCATGTCCATGGAAGTCATTCCTCAGGAGAGGGTCACTATGAGTTTGCGTTTCGAGCCAGCCACTCTCTCTGGAATCCGGCTTGTCTTTTTATCAGCCTGCATTAACTTCACCATTCACCATGGGCCCCTCACCAGAACCAAATCTTGCACCAGGCCATTTACACATCGAATGTTTAATACATGAGCTAAATAAATATCTTTGCCTCATAAGTAGCTTCACCAAAATATTTTGTTGTAGTAGTGAGAAGCTGACTGCCGCAGCCCGTTATCCTCCCAATGTGTATTGATGCATCTGTGAAGTCCAATCCTGTTGAACCTGGGCAGAACTCATGGCTTACTTCTATCCCATAAGATACAGCAAAACAGATGAGACATCATATAGAGGTTGCATCGTGTAAGATTGGAACTTCTATCTTGTTGGTCAGCACTCTGCTGATTCTCACAATGGTGGCTCGGATGAAGCAAGCTGCCCTAGGGAGAGACCCACAAAGGAAAACATTGAAAGTGGCCTCAGCTAACAGCCAGAGAAACTGAGGGCCCCTGTCTGACAATCCACAAAGAACTAAGCCCTTCCCACACCCAGTGAGTGTGGAAGCAGATCCTTCTCAAGTCAAGCCACAGGTAAGACCACAGCCTTAACTGGCCCATGGTCAGCAGCCCTGTGAGATCCTGACAGAGCAAACCCATCTCAGCTGGACCTGGGTTCCTGACCACAGAAACTGAGAGATCGTAAATGTGAGGTGTTATGAGTTAAACGTGTGTTATCTTCAGCAAATTAATCTCCTGGGAAGTCTACCATCCCTGCCTTATACTCTTCCCCTCTTGGGGCCACTTTCACAGCATGTGAGTGATCTGAGATTGCGGAGGTTGGTGTCAGTGGTTGGATTATCTGCAACTCTCCGTGAACATAATACTTGAATTTCATTGGCTCTTTCTGATTTTCTGAATACTCTGAAATCTGCTTTTCCCCTTTTAAGTCACTGTTTCTGCTGTCTCACCATCGATGTAGTCGAGGGGTTAAGTGATCAGTGCAGGTTCTCATAACCAAGCAATGGCACTGGCAGGTCTAGACCCTGGGTCTCAGGAGTTCCCAAGACCTGGAGGACTCTTATCCATCTGGTTTCTGTCTGTGGATTAGAGTGTAAGTTTGCATTCTGTGAGGGCCACCCTACAGGCTCTCAGAGAAGCCATCTCCATGACCTCCTGTACTAGAACTCTTGTGAGATAGAAGGGAATCCTGACTCTGGGGCTCTCTGATCAGCAGCCAGGGCTGATACTCTGCTGGCACTAAAGAAGCCACATAATCTCACTGTGCCAGGCTAACCCAGGAGAAAAATTGGACAACAATGTTTACCTTGCCATTAGTCCTGCTGGCACTCTGTATGGGAATGTCCGGCCTTGAGGGTCACTGGTGATAGAGTTTCTAATGCAGGCCACCCCCCTGCCAAGGGCCCAGGTGTTCAGAATGTTCCATCAGCATATCAGATTAAGCAATGGAAAGAGGTTGAACAAAACATTCCGGGCAAGGGGGAGATGGAGTGCTTAAGCATGACAGGTGTTATGGGACTGGGCTGATCGGCCCTGAACACCTGGTCCCCCCGCACTTTCCAGAACATGGTCTCCAACTCCACAGGAGCACTGTGTTCTCCACTTCACAGTAGCATGAGGGAACTTCCACCAGATCACGGAAAACTAGAAATAAAAATATATTTATTTTGGTGTAAAAAGTTTAGAAATCTGTGCATAGTTTTTCATAAAACACATTTTCAGTGAATGTGTTGAAGTACTCCCACACATGACTAATGTATTTTT